TCTGAAGTCCAGACACATCCCAAGCTCTACTCACTTTGGCCCATATCCCATATAATGGTGCCTGAAATGCCTCTTCTTATTCTCTCCCCTTTTCCACACCTTGCCTCTGATTTCACTATAACTCAGTTTTCACTACATTCATGAAGTTGTTTTTAAGAATTCATCACGTGTTGATCATCTTCTGTAAGCTCCCATAGTATAAAGAGTTTGTAATTACCATCAATAATGGGACCACAGACATATTTTTTCATAATGTTTAAATATAACATTAGAAAAAAAAGTTTCTTAACAAACACTAAGAAAAGGGAAGTAAGTCAGCAGTTACTAAACCTACTACATCTTGGCACCTGTTCCAGGTGCTAGGTATATGTGTTACCTTGTGTCCTACTTTAAATAACTCTAGAAAAACTAATAAATTCCTAAGATTAAGAATGCCAATCTTGTTTCAGGTCAGGCCTATAGTGTGATTCCATGGAATGAGATATCTGAACCACCTGATGCTGCTGTCTGATGCTGCTTCACACAGTCAGCTTCCCGCTTTCAGATGTCTTAGTCCCTGGCCCAATACAGTACTGACTCTACATATCTAGCAGTCACTTTTTACAAACACATGCATGACTCTTTGTTAATCACCCTATGTAGCTGAAATATATTGTCTAATGCAAAACTTAATAATATGCTATATTCATATTGTTTGCTAATCTGATCATTTCTAATAGGTTAATTTTTATTTTCTCTGTAGATTGTAATGGCATACAGACATCTAGTCAGCCAGCATTCAGATGTTTTACCAATAAGTATACAGTCATTGATACTTCTTCCTTACTAGGTTTAATCAATATAATGTCATCAATGTAGTGGATCAGTGTGATGTTTGTGGCAGGGAAATGTGATCAAGTTCCTTGTGGATTAATTTGTAACTCAGTGCTTGAGAGCTGATAAATCCAGACATAGGAGAGTGCAGGTGTATTGTTGGCATTGCTAGCTGAAGGGAAACTGCTTCTGGTGGTCAACAGATGCTCAAACTGTGAAAAAGGCATTGGCCAGAACAATAGCTGTATATAAAGTACCAGGGAAGGTATTAATTTGCAAAATCAATGAAACAAACAATGTTTATGAAAACCCACTGCTATTCTCCAAGATCCATTTGTGGTGGAGATCAACACCCCTGCATCCTTCAAGTCCTTAATTATATCACTAATTTCTGTAATCCCTCCAGGTATGCAGTATTTTTGTTTACTATTTTTATTGTGAATTGAGTGATAGTTTACATAAGACAACATCGGTTTTACTCTCATCATTTCATTGCAATGATTACAATGCATGCATCATCATTCAACAGTATTTGCTTCTATTCCCTCTGCTTTATTTATTTATTTTTGGATGTACACAAAAATACTCAGAAATATATATAATCATTTAAACCACCAAAGGACACATTCTGCAATTTTACCTCCTGGCTGCCAGCACACAGCCTTTCTTTTCCCTTGAGTCTAGAGTCCTCAGCTGCTCCCTCTCTCAATGTCCTCATCTCTGTCTCCATTTCTGGCATTGCTGCTTCTCTGGATAGGGTCACACATTCCACTCTTGCTTGTCTCCCTTGATGGTCTTAGGGTCTTCTGTTTCTGGAATGTAAGATTAACTACTTCCCCCTTAATGTTACAAAATTTTACCTTTACAGTTGTGACAGTCGCAATTAGTCATGTAACCATTACTCACTATTGAATCATAAGAATCTTATCCCTATCTCCTTTCATTGGGCCTATCTAGACAAGACGAAAACCATTCAATGGGGATTCTACCTCCCTCTGCACACTCTGAAACTAAACTCCCTCTTGAAAACTTGTAAGCCAGTCACTTTGTACCTTTATAGCGCCCCCCCTCCCCATTTTAGGTAGCCAATGTCTAAGTTGCTCATCCTTATGAACCTTGTGTACAGAAGGGGTGGGAATGATCCTTGATGTGAAGACTTCTTCCCTCTCAGTTGGTATTTTGAGCAACTACTTCCATAAGTATAGGTCAACTTTATCAGAGTGTAGCAATTTACACTTGTTTTCTTTATGGGAAAAAAAAAAAACTTCTTCTAGTCAAGTTCTAATCATTCAGTCATTATAGCTAGGTCAGATGGGTGAATTGAGTTAGTTTTAATGGCTTTCACTTGGCTTTTCTGATTATAATTGTCCTTATTCCATATTTTAGGGATCCAATATGGAGTTCTGCCAGTTGTGGAATATGTCTGTTCTGATTATGCATTTTGGAACTGAGGAAGTCACTACAGGATGGGTTCTGGGATTCACTGGGCCCACAGTGAGATGGAATTTAGCTAAGACTCCATTAATGATTTCCAAACCCATCTACTCTGGCTGGTGATGTTTTGAGTCTCCTGGAATTACTGTCAATTCATAGCCAGTGTCCAGTAATCCCCATAAAGTCTGATTATTGCCTTTTCTCCAATGAAGTGTAACTCTTGTGAAAGGTCATAGATCTCTTTAGAGAAGACTGGGAGAAAGACTAACAGCTGGCAATATAGTAGGGTATCTAAACTCTCACTTTCACGTCATCTAATGGTGAAAGAAATCACTAAGGTCAGCTCTTATATAAAGAAAGAAATACTCATTTTTTTTCCCTCTTTCTACAAGGAGCAGAAACAAATAGGAGGCTGTCTTTCATCTGGCATATTTCTTTTGAGAAACCTATTTCTCAACAATCTCAAATGTGTGCTCATGTTGCAACATACGATTGTATGCATGAATTAATTTTCTTTGCATCAATGTCACATTGTTCTTATTGAACTGTGTCTTGAACCTATGCCATTAAGACCATTTAAAATAATAATAATAAAACAATTTTAGATCTCTCTGTATGCTTAATAATATTGTTCTAAATAATTTTTTTATTCTCTTCTATCTGCTTTATGTCTGTGGGTGACATATAGCAGATAGAACAGAATCTGCTCTGTGTCACCTATGGGAAAAATTCTATGTGATCTTGATATCAGGAATATCATCTTTAACTTTCCTAAAGAAGTTCCTTATACTTCTATAATTCATATTTCCTTGAACCTTGACTGTTAGAAAGATTTCCTTTATTTTTCTTTGCCTTAATAATTGCATGCTCAATTATTTTAATTTCATATTGTTAGCTATTACATTTACCTTAGACTTGCCATTTATAGCTTTATTGTCTTCAACTAAGATTGTATTTATATTTGTTTTCCCATCTAAAATATAATGTGTTTTGAAATAAGAAATACTATTTTATTTATACCCACATGTCCTAATTAACTAGTAACACACATACCACAACTAGGCAGCTTCAAAGAACAAGAATGTATTGTATCACAGTTTTGGAGGCTAGAAGTTTGAGTCAGAGCATTGGCTTTAAGTGAGAGTCCTTCCTGGGTGGAAATCCTTCAAGTTAATTAGTTTTTCTTGTCATACATTGACATTTCTTGGCATTAATTGGTACTGTTTGGTGTCTGACTTCTCTCTCTGTGTGCATGTCTATGTCTATTCTGCTTTTTATGAAAGTTACCGCTGAGGACCCACCCTACTCTGGTATAACCTTGTTGACCTAGCAAAAGGAAACTCTTACTCCTCATCAGGGTCATATTTACAGGTATAGGAATTAAGACTAAAATTCATATATTAGGCAGGTGTGTATTTGTGTTTGTAACAAAATTCAATCTGTAGTTCCATGAAACCTAATATAACCTTGCACATCTTAGCCATCTATGATAGATATCAGAGCCATGAAACCTAATATAACCTTGTACATTTAGCCATCTATCATAGATATAAGAGCCCTGGTGGCTCAATCTGAGCCCTGGTGGTAAAGGTGTTAAAGTGGCTGACTGCCAGTTGAATGGCCAGTGATTTGAACTCTCAACAACCCTGCAGGATAAAGATACTGTATGTGCTTCTGTGAAAACCTGTAGGGTTGCTATGAATTAGAATTGATTTGATAGCACTGGTAGTTTGCTGGTTGTTGTGTGTGTCACTCAATGGTTAAGCGCTCAGATTATACCTGAAAGATCATGATTCGAACCTATAAGTGGCTCTATGGAAGAAACAGCTGGTAATCTGTTCCTGTAAAGATTAGAGTCTATGGTGTCCCTAGACAGAAATGGGATTTTAGTAGGTCAGATATCCTTGTATTACTTTGCAACTAATGAGTGAAAATCTCTATAGAAGGAAAATTGAATTACAGAAAAAAGACATTATCTAAGGCAAAAGTCAGAAAAAAGCAATCCAACTTATTCCCTAGAGTTTTTGAGAATCATAAAATATATGGATATTTAAATTTATGTGGCAGAATATAAAATTAATTTTAAGTAATATGTTTAAATTTCGTAGTATGTGTGCATAATAGTTATAAAAAGTAAGAGGTCTGAAATGAATATGTGGAAGAAAAATAGGGAGGTAAGTAGGGAGAAGGATGAGAAAATAACTTGGGAAATACTTATTAAACATCAGTTTAAACAATTCCTGAATTAAATAATTTATTATAGATAAGGGATTTTAGGCACTGTGATAATATTGTTGTTATTAAGTGCCGTCGAGTCAGAGGCAGTTCCTTTAAGGATTGGATCCTGAGCACTGCTTGGCAATAAAGCCATAGGAGAGAAGGATGAAAGCAAAGGGTACTAGCAAAAATAAATATTTTGGAAATGGAATTTTGGGGGCTCTCATATTTCTCAAAGGAGCTCTAGTAGCGTAGTGGTTATGAATCGGGCTTTGAATCATAAGGTCAGCAGTTCAAAACTACCAGCTGCTCCATGGGAGAAAGTTGAGGCTTTCTGCTCCTGTAAAGATTTGCAGCCTCGGAAACCCTCTTCAGGGTTGCTATGGGTCGGAACCGACTCGACAGCACTTAATAACAACATATTTCTTGAAAGCTATACTGTTTCTTTTTTTAGCTTATTAAGTGATTGGTGCCTTGAGCACACTATAAACTTATGAAGTGTCCTTTGAAAATGGAAATTGCCGTATCTCAGTTCTTCATATGCAGATCTTCCATATTCTTTCTAGGAGTCTTTTCAGAGCTCCTTTCACATCCTTATTCCTCAATGTATAAATGAAAGGATTAATGGTGGGGGTGATTATGGAATAGAATAGGGAAATAAACTTGCCTGTATCTTGGGAGTAGCTGGAAGGGGGCTGCACATACATGTAGATGGCAGGCAGGTAGAAGAGGGAGACCACCACCAGATGTGAAGAACATGTCCCAAAGGCCTTGTGACGTCCCTTTGAGGATTGCATCCTGAGCACTGCTCGGGCAATAAAGCCATAGGAGAGAAGAATGAAAGCAAAGGGTACTAGCAAAAATAAAGCCACCAGCACAGCCAGTGTGAGATCATTCACAGTTGTGTCAGCACATGAACGCTTAATCATGGCTGGCACCTCACAGAAGAAGTTGTTTAGCGTATGCTCCCCACAGAAAGGCAGCTGCACTGTCAAGATCACCTGAACTAGGGAATTGCCAAAGCCACCAAGCCAGGTCATGGCCACAAGCTTATGGCAGAGAGAGCGATGCATGATAACAGTATACCGGAGGGGCTCACAGATAGCCACATAACGGTCCAAGGCCATGGCAGCCAAGACAAGGCACTCAGTACATCCCAGCCAATGGAAAATAGCATACTGAACTGTGCAGCCACCATAACTTATGGTCTTTGTTGAGCTGCCCATGTTGACCAGCATCTGTGGAATTGTAGTAGTGGTGTAACAGAGGTCCAGCAAGGATAGGTGGCTCAGGAAGATGTACATTGGACTCTGGAGCTGGGCATCTATTCGTGACACCACAATGATGGATGTGTTGCCCAAAATAGTCAGAATGTAGGACACTAGAAGAATCACAAAAAGAGGAAGTTCCAGCCATGGTTTGTCAGAGACTCCCAGTAAGATGAACTCCTTAGGGAAATCCTCCAAGAAACTCTGGTTGCCACCTCTCATGCTGATGCATTATCTGGCACCTGTAATGAATTGAGAATATTGGAATGAAGCACAACTGAGAGGAAGAATTAATGTTGTTCCTCATTCCTACGTCTAGGCTTTCTAATTATGGTTAGGCCTTGTCTGATCGTCTTTAACTTAGAGTCACACTTAAATATACAAAAGTCAGACCAGGAGCCAGGACAGTCTTTTCATTCTTTTCTACTTTGTGACCTTGGCTATGCCATTTAATGTCTCTGAACTACAGTTCGTGCATCTGTAAAAAAGGAAGAAAATTCCTTCTTTAAATGTGAAGTCTTTGGGAGGATTGTTGTTGTTGTTGTTAAGTACTCTCAAGTTGATCCCAACGCATACCAACTTTGTATAAATTTTCTGAGGAGTGGATGGTGGGTGGGATTTTCTGACATTATGGTTAGAAGTCCAGTGCTTATCCTACAACAACACACCAAGTATCCTTGGGGATAATAAAAGGACATTAAGTATATGATAAAAAAAATCATTTCCATGAGGATAACACATTTCTTCCAATTTGGTCATAGCCTGACCTATTTTCCATTATTATGATGACTGACTTCTCCCTAAAAACACAATGCAAGGAGTTCTCCACTTTCTTGTTGTTTTTGTTGGTATGTGCTGTCATGTTGTCTCAGACTCATAGTGACCCAGTACAGTGTTTCTGAGGCTATGTAAATCTTTTTATGAGCAGAAAGCCTCACCTTCTCCCACAGAACAGCTGGTTTACTTGAATTGCAGACCTTGTGGATGGCAGTCCAGTGCTTTTGCTACAGAGTCACAGCTCTCCTATATGTATGCATGTATTAATCAATATACAGTTTCTCCTTTTCATGAAGTGGAATGCCAAAAAGTCTTGTGTATATATATATATATATTTTTTTTTTTTTTAATTATGTGGATAAAAAGTACACATACTTCAAATTAATTCAAAGGATTTCTTAAGAATTTTACATAGTTTTAAATGACTTTGTATTATAAATACAGAAATGTTCCCAGTATGTGTGTATAAAAAATGAACGTATGATATCTCTGCTTTAAAAGAAGGAACTATGGATATTTAAAAATTGTTTTCAAAGTATTCATTGGTTTATAAGTACAGGACAATTTCCATTGGACAGTTAGAATGGGAAAAATATATATGCATTTCAACAGAGTTAAAAAAATATATATCTGAATAAATATGTATATACAATTTCCACCATATATGAATAGGAATTTTAAAGGGTTTTACATATATTCAATATACTCATTAGATGAGTGGATTTCTGGTGTGCCTCTAAAGGTTAAGTACTGAACTTTGAACTACAAAGTTGGTAATTTGAGCCCACCAGCCACTCCTTGGAATCCTATACAGTGTGGCTATAAGTCAGAACTGACTTGAAGGCACTTAACAACATCAACAACAACATTTTTTGAGTACAGTTCATGGCTAGCCACTGAAAACCTTATGAACAGCAGTTGAATATTGTCTCATATAGTTCTGGAAGATGAGCTCCTCATGTTGGAAGGCACTCAAAGTACAACTTGTAAAAGCTGTTTCCTTAACATAGAGTTGACCTTAATGATCTGGATGAAGCAAAGGTATCAGGAACTTCATTTGTTGCTGTGGCACAACTTAAAATGAGAAGAAATGCTTGCAGACATCCATTGTTAACCAGAAAGTGGAATATGTGAAGTATGAATCTGGGAAAATTTGAAGTCATGTTGAATGATGATGCATGGAGTATATTGTAATCATTGCAATGAAATGATGAATGTAAAACCGATGTTCTCCCATGTAAACTATCACTCAATTTACAATAAAAACTTTAAGAAAGATGAAATGAAGGCATAAATATTGATATCCTAGGCATTAGTGAACTAAAATGGACAGGTAGTGATGATTTTTAATCGGACAATCGTATAATTTGAATTGGAGTCATGGACTCCAATTGAATTTGAATTGAGCACTGGACTACAAGATCAGTGGTTCAAACACACTAGTTGCTTCTTACAAGCCCTATACAGGGTCTCTGTGAGTCAGAACCGACTCGACACATAACAACAACATGATTTAGTGTGCTTGATATGATACATGGCAGAGGAATGGTACTGCACTCATAGTCAAAAAGAGCAATTCAAGATCCATCTTGATGTGCAATGCTGCTGTGATAGAATAATATCCATATGCAAGACCAGTTAATATGACTATTATTCAAATTTATGCACCGAACACTAAAGTCATTGATGAAGAGACTGAGGAATTCTACCAACTTCTTCAGTCTGAAATTGATCAAACATGCAATGAAGATGTATTGTTAATTACTGGTGATTGAAATGTGGAAAATGGAAACAAAGGATCAGTAGTTGGAAAATGTGACCTTGGCTATAGCAACAATGATGAAGATCACATGATAGAATTCTGCAAGACCAATGATTTATTCCTTACAAATACCATTTTTTCAGCAGCATAAATGGTGACTAAACATGTGAACCTCACCTATTAACACACATAAATCAAGTTGATTAAAACTGTGGGAAGAAACAATGGAGCAGCCCAATATCATCAGTCAAAACAAATCCAGGGAGTGACTATGGAACAGACCTTTAATTGCTCCTGTGCAAATTAAGGCTGTAGGTGAAGAAAATTAAAACATCTCCATGAGTGCCAAAATATGACTTTGGATATACTGTGCTTGAATTTAAAGAGAATCTCAAGAACAGATTTGATGCATTGTACAGTAAATACTAAGACCCAGGACAGTTGTAGGATACCATCAAGGGCATCATGTATGAAAAAAGCCAAAAGTTGTCAAAAAGACAGGAAAGGAAGAAGAGTCTAAAATTGATGTCATATGAGACTCTGAAATTTGTTGTTGATCCTAGAGAAGTGAAAGTGACTGGAAGAAATGCTGAAGTAAAAGCTGAACAGAAAATTTCAAAGGGCAGCTCAAAAAGACAAAATCAGTTAGTATTATGAAATATGCAACTACCTGGAATTAGAAAACCAAAGGGGAATAACATGGTCATCATTTTTCAAGATGAAAGAACTGAAGAAAAAAAAAAAAAAATCAAGCCTTGAATTTCAACATAGAAGTTTTCTATTTCACTTAAAATATTGAATGACTCAGAAAACATCAAAAGAAGATGGAAGGAATACACAGAATCACTGTATCAAAAAGAATTGGTGGATTTTCAGTCATTTCAAGAGGTACCATATTATCAAGAACTGATGGTATAGAAGGAAGCGGTCCAAGCTTCACTCAAGGCACTGGTAAAAAACGGCTCAAAGTAATGATGGAATACAAATGGAAATGTTTTAAAACAATTGATGCAGCACTGTAGGTGCTCATTCTTCTATGCAAAGAAATTTTGAAAAGAGCTACCTGGACAACTGATTGGAAGTGATTTATATGTCTGCTCATTCTTGATAATATGGTACCTTTCTATCCATACAATTTCTACTATGCATGCGCACAGATTTCCTCACAATTTAAAGTGACAGTTTTGACATAAAACCAAACGGCCAGCACTCATCTGTCTGTCGTGCTGTGGTGGCTTGATTTGCTGTGATTCTGAAAGCTATGCCACCAGTATTTTAAATAACCAGCAGGGTCACCCATGGTGGACAGGTTTCAGACAAGCTTCCAGACAAAGATAGACTAGGAAAAAAGAGTGACGAACTACTTCTGAATCGTTAGTCACTGAAAACCTTATGGATAGCAGAGAAACACTGTCAGATACAGTGCCAGAAAATGAGCCTCTCAGCTTGGAAGGCACTCAAAACGCGACTGGGGAAGAGATGCCTACTCAAAGTAGAGTTGACCATGAGGACGTGGATGGAGTTAAGCTCGTGGGAGAAAAGCCCACAGAACCTTCCTTTGCTGATGAGGCACAACTCAAAATGAAGAGAAAGAGCTATAAACATCCATTGAAAATTGGAACATGGAATGTTGAATCTGGGGAAATTAGAAATTGTCAAAAATGAAATGGAACGTATAAACATTGATATCTTAGGCATTACTGAGCTGAAATGGACTGGTATTGGCCATTTTGAATCTGACAACCACATGTTTTACTATGCAGGGAATGAAAAATTGAAAAGGAATGGTGTTGCATTAATCGTCAAAAAGAACATATCCAGATCAGTCATGAGGTATAATGCTGTATGTGATAGGATAATATCCATGCATCTACAGGGAAGTCCAGTTAATACTACTATTATTAAAATTTATGCACCAACCACTAAAGAGATCAGACGACGTATTGCATTAGGCAAATTTGCTGCACAGGAACTGTTTAAAGTGTTGAAGAGCAAAGATGTCAGCTTGAGGACTAAGGTGTGCCTGACCCAAGCCACGGTATTTTCAATAACCTCATATGGATGTGAAAGCTGGACAATGAACAAGGAAGATCATAGAAGAATTGATGCCTTTGAATTATGGTGTTGGAGGAGAATACTAAAAGTGCCATGGGCTGCCAAAAGAACCAGTAGATCTGATTTGGAAGAAGTGCAGCCAGAGTGTTCCTTAGAGGCCAAGATGGCCAAACTTCGTCTCTCATACTTTGGACATATTTCAGGAGGGAACAGTCGCTGGAGAAGGATATCATGCTTGGTAAGATGTAGTGTCGGAGAAAAAGATGAAGACCCCCAACGAGATGGATTGGCCAGGTGGCAGCATCTATGGATTCAAATGTGGCAACAGTAGTGAGGTTGGCCTTGAATCGGACATTGTTTTGTTGCTGTGATAGGGTCGCTATGAGTTGGTTCCGACTCGCTGCCACCTAACAATAACAACAACTCATTCCAAAGAAAAAGGATCAAATGGAATTTGAACAAAGCATTTAATACCACATGCAAATACAGTTTTGCTGAAGATAATTCAAAATGGTTGCAGCCGTACAAGCTCATTACAATGGCAGATGACACAACCTTGCTTACAGGAAGTGAAGAAAACCTGAAATACTTACTGATGAAGATCAACTACTGTAGCCATCAATATGCA